ATATATATATATATACCATAATCTTTTGTTTTTACCTAAGAAAGAAACTTATTTGGAACAAAATCATTTATCTGTCGATGAAATGACGACATGCATGAAGACATTTTTAGTTTGCAAAATTGACAGCCCTTAAATCTGGAGAAATCTTGGAGAAATAAACTTTTAAACATAAATGTTTGATATTGTTTGGATTCTGGTCCCTTTATATTCTTCTATATGTATACAATAATAATTTTTTGCATCACTCAAAGGGATAGGCATAGGGATAGAGTTAAGACTGATAAAGATTCTGGTGATGTGATTGTTTTTCTGCTATAGTATATGAATCCAAAACCTCCAGTCACAGACCATACTGTTCCTAAAGCTCAGATTCCTCTTAATCACCTCACCAACCTTAAAGGGACACGTGCTTTCTTCATTCTGTAACAGGTCTGCATTCTTCAACTGAACAAATTCTGTCTACAATCTGATAAAATTCTCCATCCTTTTTTACTTATTTTTATGATTTAATTCTTGGTTTCAATCTTCATTCTGTTATATGAACTGGGTGTTTACTGTTTTTACGGCAACCACGTTGATGTATGTTTCTCTCTCTATGTTAGGTGTTGCTGTCTGGTTTAATGGATCTCTCTCTGAAGCTAGTCAATGTGGCTTTTTTCATGCTGTTACTGACATGGATTATGGTAGATTTTCTGAAGCGGAGGAGGGAGGGTGGTGATAAGGAGTTAAAACATGGAGCAAGTGACAGAAAATCTACAGTTTTTGCCAAGATAACTGTTATTTCCAATGTCATTATAACCACGTTTCATCTGGGGTTTTGTTTCTATGAATTCTGGAAGCTGAAAACCATCATTATCGAAGCTGTCTTCCCCGCAATGAACTGGACTTTAGCATGTTTTATTGCACTCTATTCACTCAGCAGAACTCTTAGAGAACACAAAAGGTGGCCTCCAGTGCTTATTCTCTGGTGGGTCTTTTCCAGTATTTTTTATTCACTTTTGGTCTTTCTTTATCTCCTCACTCGTTTAAAATCCATACAAGTGCCAGATTTTCTGCCAGAAGCTAATATTATTGATTTCGCTTCCTTCCCCTTGTCCATTCTCCTATGTTTCAATGCTCTGCACATTAATTCTAACAAGAAACAGCAAGAACTTGAACAACCATTACTTCGAAAAAAGGCAAACGATGGTTGCAAAGATGCCGATGCTTTTTCTAGTGCTGGAATTTGGAGCCGGGCTACGTTCAAGTGGCTTAATCCTCTCTTCAAGAAGGGTCGTGTTAAAACACTCGAAATACTCGATGTACCTTCCATTCCTAAATCAGAAACAGCTGATGAAGCAGCTTCGTCGTTACAAGAATCACTTCGCAAACAGAAAGATGAAACTTCATCATTGCCCAATGCCATATTACAAGCTATCTGGAGACCTCTGGCAATCAATGCAGTTTTTGCAGGTAATTCTTGTTCTTTTGGGCATATCAAAACGTTTTTAGTCTCTGTTTGGCAGAAATTTACGTGTTTTTGTTCAATGTCACAGGATTCAACACAATTGCTTCCTATATTGGCCCCCTCTTAATCACAAACTTTGTAAATTTCTTATCGGCAAAGCATGATCATTCAAGCTGGCACCATGGAGTGATTCTTGCAGTCATCTTTTTCTTGGCCAAGACAGTGGAGTCACTGTGCCAGAGACAATGGTATTTTGGTGCTCAGCGTATTGGTACTCGAATCCGTGCAGCTCTCATAGTATTGATATACAAGAAGTCTTTGACAATCAAATATGGTGGTATGAGCAATGGCAAAGTCATAAACTACATCAACGTGGACGTTGAGAGGATTGGAGATTTCTGTCGGTACCTTCATGGAGTTTGGTTGCTGCCAATTCAGGTAATTTTGGCCTTGACCATTTTGTACAGGAATCTTGGCTTTGCTCCCTCTATTGCTGCTCTTTCGGCCACTATTTTCGTGATGGTGAGCAACACCCCACTGGCCAATATGCAAGAAAGGCTTCACAGCAAGATAATGGAAGCTAAGGACAGCAGAATCAAAGCCACCTCAGAGACCTTGAGGAGCATGAGAGTTTTGAAACTGCATTCATGGGAATCCACCTTTCTGAAGAAACTCCTCAAACTTAGAGAAACTGAAAGAAGTTGGCTAAAGAAATACCTCTATACATGTTCAGCTGTGGCTTTTCTGTTTTGGGCATCACCAACCTTAGTCTCAGTGGTCACCTTTGGTGTTTGCATAGTTTTAGGCACACCATTAACATCAGCTACTGTTCTCTCAGCTATAGCAACTTTTCGAATTTTACAGGAGCCCATCAATAATCTGCCGGAGCTTATCTCCGTGATTGCTCAAACAAAGGTTTCACTTGATCGGATCCAAGAATTCATCAAAGGGAAAGATCAGAAAAAAATTATTCACTGTCAGTCTGTAAAAGCATCTGACGTTGCAATTGAAATTGAAACTGGAGAATACACATGGGAGACCAGTGGCTCAAGATCGAAACTATCCACAATCAAGTTTACAGAGAAACTGAGAATAATGAAAGGTGACAGGGTAGCTGTATGTGGCTCAGTTGGATCAGGCAAATCAAGCTTACTTTGCAGTATACTTGGTGAGATTCCAAGGATTTCTGGGGGTGGAATTAAAGTTTATGGATCAAAAGCATTTGTCCCACAAAGTGCTTGGATTCAGACTGGAACTATCAGAGAAAATGTGTTGTTTGGCAAGGAAATGAACAAGGCCTTCTATGATCAAGTTGTAGAAGGATGTGCCCTAAACCGTGATATTGAGATGTGGGCTGAGGGAGATTCAAGTGTTGTGGGGGAGAGAGGAATGAACTTAAGTGGAGGACAAAAACAGAGGATTCAACTAGCAAGGGCAATCTATAGTGATTCAGATATTTATTTGCTTGATGATCCTTTCAGTGCTGTTGATGCACATACGGGGGCTCATATGTTCAAGGCAAGAAACATCTTATCCTTTATTCTTCTTAAATCTGTGTATCATGCACCGTTTACATTTCTTGATTGCATTATTAACATAATCTTCTTAAAAAATGAATCATTTTGCAGAAATGTATGATGCAACTCTTGTATGGGAAAACTGTTGTTTACGTCACTCATCAGTTGGAATTTCTCGATGCTTCAGACCTTGTTTTGGTAAGTTGATGAAAATTTTGGCTATGGCCCTAAAAGAGAGCATTGTTTTTAAGACTTCCTTACTTTTGGATGTATACTCTTTAGGTAATGAAAGATGGGAGGATTGTTCAATCTGGAAAGTATCAAGATTTGATTGCAGAGTCTGATGGTGAACTTGTTAGACAAATGGCTGCCCACAGAAAATATCTAAATCATGTCAAGCCTCCTCCAGAATGCAACTACTTAACAAACGGACACCAACAGCAGAGTAAAACTGAAGTTACCGAGAATAATTTTGAACACCACATCAGCAATGGTGACAGTCTCATGGAGAAAACTCTACAAGAAGAAACAGAAACTGGCCGCGTGAAATGGCATGTCTACTCAATATTTGTCACTTCTGCATATAAAGGAGCTCTTGTTCCAGTTATCCTTTTGTGTCAGGTTCTCTTCCAGGGACTGCAAATGGCGAGCAATTATTGGATTTCTTGGGCAGCAGCAGAAGAAGGCAGGGTTAGCAGAGAGCAGTTAATTGGGATATTTGCTTTGATGTCTGGTGGAAGCTCCATGTTTATTCTGGGCAGAGCAGTTTTGCTCTCAACCATTGCCATAGAGACTTCTCAGCGCCTCTTCCTTGGCATGATTACATCAGTTTTCCGTGCACCCCTATCGTTCTTTGATTCCACGCCCTCAAGCCGAATTCTCAACCGCGTTAGTTTTGTTTTTCATATCCATTTCAGTTACTTCGTTTTCTTAGTAATTTAATTTCAGATTGAATTTACTCTCACTTTGTTTATTTTTCATCAGTCTTCCACAGATCAAAGCATAGTGGACACAGATATTCCCTACAGATTAGCTGGATTAGTATTTGCCCTTATTCAGCTATTGAGTATCATTCTCCTTATGTCGCAAACTGCCTGGCAGGTCTTTTTTCTCTTCCTGGTTATTCTGGCCATCTCCATACTGTATCAGGCAAGAATACTCACTATCTTAAAGATTTTCGCTTTAGAGTTCAACACGCTGAAGAAATTTATGCAGCATAACACAGTTCCAACAAAATCATGTATGCAATTTTGAACTATCTAATCAATGGATATTATAACGCTTAAAATCAAATCTGAAGCTTTACAATTGAGTGTCTATACATGGCATGCGCACCAATTCGTTTTGTTAGTATGTTTATCCTTAGATGCTGAAACATCAAATCTTATTGCAGGATTATTACATCACCACTGCTAGAGAACTAGCCAGGATGATTGGGATACGAAAAGCTCCAATCCTTCATCATTTTTCAGAGTCCATTAGTGGGGCAGCAATAGTTCGATGCTTCAATGAGGAAGTTCGCTTCTTGAAGAATATTTTAAGCCTCATTGATGCTTATTCTTGTGTCTCTTTCCACAACTCTGCAACAATGGAATGGCTATGCCTTCGAATCAACTTTCTCTTCAATCTTGTCGTCTTCCTTCTTCTTATCATCTTGGTGAACCTTCCAAAATCAGCCATTGACCCCAGTAAGCTCCTTCTCTCCCCTTTGTTTTTGTCCATCTAATAAGCTAAGAAGAATAGAGGTCACCTTGGAGTGAGTTTCACATAAAGTTTTAGGATTGTGTATTTACAACTAAACTTGTATTTAAGGTGCATCCTAGCTATGCATTTAAATTCAAGTTCATCATTCATGTTACAGGTAAAAGTCATTTCTAACAGAAGCAGACAGCAGCAGTTAAAGCACACTAAGGAAATTTTAGGAACTTTAGAATCACACTCGTATGACATACCATTCACCTCCATCCTGCTCCACTTTTTTTTTTTTAACCGATATAATTCAGATAAACGACTGCAAACAGTCTGCTGTCTTTGCAATTATTAGTAAATTATATTGCAATTCTGAGTTTGATTTTGAGCTTGCTGGGTTTTGGGAATACTGAATCTAACGTAATAAACTAATTGATCTGATAACAGGCTTGGCAGGACTGGCAGCTACATATGGTTTGAACCTAAATGTTCTCCAGGCTTGGGTTATATGGAACCTTTGCAATGTAGAGAACAAAATGATCTCAGTAGAAAGAATTCTTCAGTTCACAAACATACCAAGTGAAGCACCACTCGTAATTGAAAATTTTAGACCGGAGCCTGATTGGCCAACCAATGGAAAAATCGAGCTTGAAGATCTCCATGTCCAATATAGTCCTGCTCTCCCAAGAGTGCTGAAAGGAATCACTTGCACCTTCCCGGGGGAAAAGAAAATTGGTGTTGTGGGCAGAACTGGAAGTGGAAAGTCCACTCTGATCCAAGCTCTCTTTAGGGTGGTGGAGCCCTCAGAAGGGCGGATTCTGATTGATGGAGTAGATATTTCAAATATGGGATTGCAGGATTTGAGGTCTAGGTTGAGTATAATACCCCAAGACCCAACTTTATTTCAAGGAACCATGAGGACCAATCTTGATCCTCTGCAACAGTGCTCAGATCATGAAATCTTGGAGGTAGCGATTAAAAAAGTTATATCGTTTTTCTTACATGACCTTATGTACTTTGAGTTTAACTCCACTAAATTGATGTGCCAGGTTTTGAACAAATGTCATCTTGCAGGGATAGTAGCGCAGGATTCAAGGCTTCTTGATGCACCAGGTACAAAAACATGACAAACATGATGATGATGGAGCAGGACCTCCCCCTTACACCCCCCCGCCTCCTTCCCTTGTGGGGATCCCAAATCCAAATTAGATATAGAAAATCTGTTTTATAAATTGATGAGGTTGTCTGATCTGATATTTGGACATTGGTGCAGTTGCAGAAGATGGAGAAAACTGGAGTTTGGGACAAAGGCAGCTGGTATGCCTGGCCAGGGTTCTGCTACAAAGGAGGAGAATATTAGTATTGGATGAGGCTACAGCCTCGGTGGATACAGCGACAGACAACGTGATTCAGAAGACAATAAGAGAACAAACAAGCAGATGCACAGTCATAACAGTGGCCCATCGGATACCAACCGTTATTGACAATGACTTGGTTCTAGTTCTAGATGAAGGTAAGGATGACAAACCCAACAGCAACAGAAATTCTCTTGCATATAGGAAAATCTTAGGATTCTTAGTGAGGACAAGCATTTAACTGCCAGTAAAGCACATTCTCATTTTTTCCACATAGATCTACATTGATAACTCTATGCATTACTTGTTTTGGAAGAGGATGATACAATTTAAATAGGAACTACAAAAGCTAACAATTTGATGTGATGTTAGTGTGAGATAGATCAAGTCGCTCACCGGTTTCATCTTGATTAATACAGGCAGCGTTGTTGAGTATGACTCCCCAGATCGGTTGCTGAGGGATAATTCTTCCAAATTTTCGAAGTTGGTAAGGGAATTCTTGAAAAGATCATCTGATAGTAATCTTCATTGGGATCTTACTTGAAGCCAGTGTGGAGATTGACTTGAAGCTCAATCATGTGCAAAGATTCAAGATATACGAAAAATATTTCAGTGTCTCAATCTGACATTGTAGCATCCACAAGTTTCTGACTCATTGTTAAAAATGAAGCACTGAGCAGCAACAACTCGAATGACAACAATAGCAGTGATGAAAACTGCAAGAGCCCATGAAGCAAACCTAACAGTAACCAGAAGAATATAAACGTTCTACTTCAAGACCACATATCCCGCCTTTCAGAATCTCAAAATGCTGAAGTGATATACCTCGGAAAGAATATATGTAACACTCTTGTCTTGCTACGAAAATTACATGCAAAGAGTTTTCCCAACTAGTCTAGGTTGTCTACAATCGTGCTACAATAGTTTCAGACAGGAACCATCAATATATTTTGCCGTTGTCGCGAATATCATTAATTGTGCATACGGATTTTCATTGCCAAGTGTGCTTTCAGTGGTTTTTACAGTTAAATTTAAGAATAGCTTCCTCGATGATGCTAAAACTTTAGACTATAATGACTTGGACATTCTCAAGAGTCAAGATTTACTTTCCTGAAGACATTTACTTTCATCTGGTTTGCATGATTTCAATGTGCAGCATGTGTAATTGGGTATGATGAACATCTATATACAATGTAAACGAAGTTAAGATTTTGAAATCGCATACTAATTACAGTGAGTTATATTGTGGATTAGCTAAAAATGAACATCTCCAAGTAATTTGATAAAAAGAAAAGGTGAATTTTCAGATGAGAGAGAGGAAGAAGGTAATTCAATAACCTCTTCTGCTTTCTACAAAACAGTCTAAAAAATGCTATCTATCCTTGGAGCCATCAACAAAGGGTATCCATCCTTGGATCCTCAGGTTCCATGTAAGAAATGGTTCCAACTTTGAGCTATAAGCTTCAGTTAGTTGAGCAGTTCACATTCTCACAACCCTATATGAGTGCCTTCAGCAAAATTTAGAATTCTTGTCAGCAGGGAGATCTTTAGAACCTTCTTTCTCCCAAATGTGAGAAAATCAATTGGCTGACATTAACATATTTGGCTCAACCTGAAGCTGGAATTAAAAAAAAAAATTCTCCTTTCAAAGCTGGACATAAAATGTATTAAAGGTCATATCTGCTGCATTAGTAGATGACCAATTTCAAACTTTACATTCCAGAAAAACTTCAAGCATATTGAGTCCACACTTGCCTTTCTTTTATCTGGAAGCTCCATTAGTGACGATTTTGTGCTTTCTATATGTGGCCTCAGTCTTTGTATTCTCTCTTTCCCTTTTTATCCGAACTCTTGAAAGTTCTGGCCTGGACCAAACAGCTCAAAGGTGTTGAAGGCGAACCCACCTACCTTTATTTGATGTTCCACGTTCTCCTTCCCTCATCCTGTTGTCACTATTAATATTAACAAAATACTTTCAGTGATGCATACATCGGTTTCCCCACTTTAGTATTAATATACAGAGTGCTATATGATTCAATAAGAGTAGCAATTCATTGAAATATCTGAATGTTCCGTCATTAATCACCAGATCATGTCAGTGCAAAAGCACCAGTTATAAGCAACAAACACAAGTCTCAGGACCAACTTGCAGATATAAACCTTATTTCTGTAATGGGGATGAAAACAAGCATCAACAACTTAACAATCCAAGAAAAACATAACAGGGTGATTCACTACTTCCTAAATTCCAACAGAATCAATGGCCAAAAGCTATTTGGAGGATCAAACTCCAAGCAAGGTAGACAATCTCAACATCAGCTTCATTTTGGATTTGAGAAGAAACCATTGACGTTTGGCATAATCTCAGGGCGCCTGCCACGAACGAATTTCCTTAGGCTATGTTGTGAATAGCGCTCACCCTCTGCAAAGTTGTCGAGCACTCCTGCAGCTCTGTTCTCCTTTTTAACCCTGAAATCAATTTCCAAAGTAGGCCTGTCAATACATTTTTGATCAATTGTAATTTCTGTCTACCCCAATGATACAATGAACAAATTACTCAAGTCCAACAGAATTCCTGACATAACACAAACACATATGGATTTAAACACTGCAGTTTTTATTTCTTCTTTTACAATTTACAGCATAGAAACATAAAAATTCTGTGTCGCAATCACTTGTCATTGAGTTTAAATCCACTGATGGCCTTGTGCGTCGAAACTGAATGTTTGGTTCCAGTTTGATCTTTAAAACACCCCTATTCCATGGCTGAAATGATACTTTTTTTTTTAAAAAACGCATACCTCACTTCAGGATTGGTAGTGATATTCCTTATGAGTTGCATGCTGCAAATGCCAACCACTGTGCCAACTGCTGCAAAGATTGGGTACGCCTTTCAAGAGGAAAAAGAGAAAAAAAAACATGGTTAATAAACAGTTTTCAAGTACTCTAGGGCTCCTATGGTGTTGGAAAACCGAAAACCTTCAGTAATGTATTCCCGGATAAAATAAGAGGAAACAAGACTCTTCAAAATAAATAGAACTGGAGAATGAGCACACATCAAAGGGGTAGCTACCAGGTAGAATGTGAGAATGAAAGCAGTGAGTTGACATTGTAAGCCCAAACATACATGTGCTGGCACTTAACATCACAGAATAGTTTCTCAAACAATGCAATGTCTTGCAAAAGTAATACACATTCAAATCCAAACATGGAATTGACCTAATACTGTAGTCATTCACAAAGGATGTCCTTGTTTTTTCTTGAACGCAATTTCATAGGAGGACAAACACTGGCCAGATATTTGATAGCTGTCTTTGTTGTAAACAAGGTTATATTCACTTCTTCAGCATTTTTCAGTTCATCTTGCAATTTATTTTCTTTCGATCAGTAGTTCAATTGCAGGATCCGTCCTAGGTGTCCATGCTTATTGACTTTCAAAATGACGAGCAATTTAAGATTCTGCATAGCATAAAAAGAAAGGGGAAAGAGACTAAGGGTCTGTTTAGTCTGTTTCTTTGGGAGAGGAGTTTAAAAAATGTGAAAAAGAAAGCCTACTTTCCCCCTCTAAGCACATATGTTAGGGAATTAACAATTATTTTCAAAGTCCTAACACAGAAGTCCAGCACAGGAGGAGGAAAAAGCGCGGGTTATTTGATAACACTAGAACATGTCATGGCATGGGAAGGTTTATATTGCTTAGTGAGAATTCAATCCATGGTAAGTTCTATCCCTGGAAAAAAAAAAAAGTGCTTTGGAAACAGAATTTTTAAGGAGAATTCTCATACGAAATAATATGGCAGTGGCTTCTTCACAAACAACCATGATGTGAATGATTTTATTGTTTCGAAATGAAAGAATTCCAACAAACGGTTTTTGATATCAAGTTTATGTTTGTGTAGTATTATTGTTGATGAGGATGTAGATAATCATTCATGATTGATTCCATGTAATAGACTACGAACACTGATGGAATCAGAAGATTACACAACAAAGGAGTTAAATGCAATATAGCAGCTGAATATATGCATAATTTAAGGCCCAAACAAAAATTACACAAATTTCATTAATAAAAGTTCATGATTTTCTAGACCGGGGGCTATGGTCCCAAGTTTCAACCTACCTCTACTCTATGGCAGACCTTAGCTCGAAATTGTAACACTACTTCAAATTCTGACTAATATGTATATAATATGAATGTGGGTGCTTGAAGAGTTGTAGTTGTAGTTGTACCTCAGGCCTCAGCCATCTCTTCACGAGGGTGGAAGAAGCCATGTTTGGAGCTGCAAGGAACGAGAAAGAAGAACACAACCCTGTGGTAGCTTCCCACAAAGAATTTTCAAGGAGAAGCACCACATGTTGACCATCTCTAGCTGATATATTTATACATTCCTACAATCCCAAAAATGTTGGATAGATTTGTGTACCAAAATAAGGACAATTTTCTGGCCAACCAGAATGTTCTGTGGTGGGACTCAAAATAAGGGAATTTTCAAGCCTTAGTTCCATCCAATGTTCCTAAATTTCTGGGGGTCGTTACTCACCAACTTGAATACGGGAGTACCCAGATTGATTAGTCCAATAAGGTGTGCAATTGCATTGGAATTTTCTTGTGGAGAAGACAATTGGTTCAAGTCTTTTCGGCAGCAATGATGGGGATGGGAAATTGTAAAATCCTGACAGACAAAATGTAGCCTTACAGATAAAGTTGAATTAGCGGGTTTTATTGACATCTGATTATGGTCATATATTGTCACTTTATAATAAAAATTTCATAAGTAATACAGTCGCTAAATATCGATTAGATTTCTCCACTGTGTCGCNACAGACAAAATGTAGCCTTACAGATAAAGTTGAATTAGCGGGTTTTATTGACATCTGATTATTACGGTCATATATTGTCACTTTATAATAAAAATTTCATAAGTAATACAGTCGCTAAATATTGATTAGATTTCTCCATTGTGTCACAATTTCTCCATTTAGAACAAAAATATGTTGGGAGGGNAAAAAATTTTGATAAATGGAGTCACAATAATTTTACTGTCACATCATTAAATTAATAAATTAAATTAAATTTTTAAATACAAATAGTATTATATTATAAATAAATAAATAAAAGAAAAAAAGGTGTAATAAATGATTCATATGACATGTACCTTCAAAAAGGGGGTTTTCAAAATAAATTTTTTTTTTTGAAATTCTAATTGAATCGATACCTGTAATGAGATATCATATTCATTTAGGAATTGCCTTTAAATAATATAATTTCAATAAAAAATTAGTTGNTTTATTGACATCTGATTATTACGGTCATATATTGTCACTTTATAATAAAAATTTCATAAGTAATACAGTCGCTAAATATTGATTAGATTTCTCCATTGTGTCACAATTTCTCCATTTAGAACAAAAATATGTTGGGAGGGAAGAGAATGGTGCATCTTTGGATGTCTAAATNTGGAGTCCGTGAAAAAACAAATAAAAAATATTTCTTGGTCTGGCCCGATCTCGGTTTTAAGACTGCCTGAAGCCCACCGGGTCGAGTCATTAAATCACTGAGATCCACCTGGAATATTCCACAGCNCAATTTCTCCATTTAGAACAAAAATATGTTGGGAGGGAAGAGAATGGTGCATCTTTGGATGTCTAAATGGAAAAGCACTGAACAAATGTCATGTCCGGTGATGCAAATCGCATGGCAATACATTACTTAAATTAATGGGATCGATATTGGAGTGGTTTGGGCCGGTCAAATATTTGACCTTTTTAGAAACACTTCCACGAATTTTCAAACACCTATGTCCAATCANCATCTTTGGATGTCTAAATGGAAAAGCACTGAACAAATGTCATGTCCGGTGATGCAAATCGCATGGCAATACAATACTTAAATTAATGGGATCGATATTTGAGTGGTTCGGGCCGGTCAAATATTTGACCTTTTTAGAAACACTTCCACGTTCAAGAATTTTCAAACACCTATGTACAATAAATAATAACAAAGACAAAATAAACTCATCGCACCCTGACCCTACCAGGGGATTGGATGACCCAGAGTGAATTTTTAACAAATTCCTTCATTTAGGTCTGAAAATGGCATTTTTTTACCTTTTTTAGTAATATTTTGTAATTAAATAGTTTTACCGTCTAAAGTTATAATTGATCGCTATCAATTTTGGCTTAATCTAGGTGATTAGTAGTTTTTAGCAATATAATTAATTTGATAATTTTTTTTTGGGCAAAATATGTATTAATGACCTAATTATGTAATTAATGATAATTAGGTCATATTTATTTATTTCCTAATTAGTTTAAGCTTTGAGCACTATTTATTCTCTTATAAATCGTAGAGTTAAATAGTTTTTGATTGATTAGTACAATTAAGGGAGTTGTCTCTTTTATTATCAATTCTTATGATATTTTATAGGAATCAACAAACTTAATAAAATCTTTTGTGAATTAACAGACGTAAAATAGAATTCTAAATTAATATTTATATGCAAATCAACGATTTGATCTCTTTATTCCTTTTCATTCATTAAATACCCTTATTTTACTCGCTTCCCTTATTCTAGTACAATTCTCATATATGAATGTATTGTAATTGGGCTTTAACTCTCCTTGTTATGAAATTCATAGGCTCATGAAAATTCAAAATTCTAGTGTGAAAGTCTCCAATTATGGTATGGAAGAAGGCATTTTGACTTTTGTCTTTTTATATAATTATGGATGATTTTTTGTTAAATTAAAAAATACTTTTCTTTTTAATCATAGATTTTTTTTCAATGAATAAAATTTGACACGGGTAATCTTATCTTCTTTTATTATTTTTAATTTAATTTATTATTTTTATAATTAATAACTATCAATTAAACACATTATTTTTTGACATGACAATTTCTGGATGAACGCGTGGTGGCGTGGGTGGAAGAGCAGAGCGTGAAATGTATCGCAGAGTGACGTCAAGTGTCACGGCTGCCGGAGAATCAAATTGGCACGCGCGATTAGATATTAATAACAATAATAAATAATAAAATTGGACACTGTAGGCCACGCTACCTGCAAGGAGAGAAGTCAAACATCTCTTCAAGTTGACAATAGCATGGTTTTATTAGAAGGAAAAAAAAGAAATACTATTTGAATTTAATAATAAAACTTAATTTGTGATATAATATCGCCTTAAATGATATAGTCATAATAAAAAATTTTGATAAATGGAGTCACAATAATTTTACTGTCACATCATTAAATTAATAAATTAAATTAAATTTTTAAATACAAATAGTATTATATTATAAATAAATAAATAAAAGAAAAAAAGGTGTAATAAATGATTCATATGACATGTACCTTCAAAAAGGGGGTTTTCAAAATAAATTTTTTTTTTTGAAATTCTAATTGAATCGATACCTGTAATGAGATATCATATTCATTTAGGAATTGCCTTTAAATAATATAATTTCAATAAAAAATTAGTTGGAGTCCGTGAAAAAACAAATAAAAAATATTTCTTGGTCTGGCCCGATCTCGGTTTTAAGACTGCCTGAAGCCCACCGGGTCGAGTCATTAAATCACTGAGATCCACCTGGAATATTCCACAGCAGCTCTTCATATTCCTTCCTCAAACATAATTACTCTTCTTCTTTTTTCTTTTTCTTTTTTGACTCTTTGGGTAATAATAATTTCATTTTGGAAAGACATAAATTATAGTAATAGCCCTGAGATTATGTGTTTCATGTCATTTTGGTCTCTATTCTTTCAACTATGTCATTTTTAGCCATTAAACATTTGGTTTGATAACTATTGTGAAAACTAATAACTAAAAACATCACATTTTATAAAATATTCTTTTAATCCATTAATTATCAATTTTGTCAATAATATTCTTGAAATTTTCAACCAAATTTTAAATAATTCTTAAAATTATTCATAAAAAATATTAGATTCATCNTTGGATGACCCAGAGTGAATTTTTAACAAATTCCTTCATTTAGGTCTGAAAATGGCGTTTTTTCACCTTTTTTTAGTAATATTTTGTAATTAAATAGTTTTACCGTCTAAAGTTATAATTGATCGCTATCAATTTTGGCTTAATCTAGGTGATTAGTAGTTTTTAGCAATATAATTAATTTGATAATTTTTTTTTGGGCAAAATATGTATTAATGACCTAATTATCTAATTAATGATAATTAGGTCATATTTATTTATTTCCTAATTAGTTTTAAGCTTTGAGCACTATTTATTCTCTTATAAATCGTAGAGTTAAATAGTTTTTGATTGATTAGTACAATTAAGGGAGTTGTCTCTTTTATTATCAATTCTTCTGATATTTTATAGGAATCAACAAACTTAATAAAATCTTTTGTGAATCAACAGACGTAAAATAGAATTCTAAATTAATATTTATGTGCAAATCAACGATTTGATCTCTTTATTCCTTTTCATTCATTAAATACCCTTATTTTACTCGCTTCCCTTATTCTAGTACAATTCTCATATATGAATGTATTGTAATTGGGCTTTAACTCTCCTTGTTATGAAATTCATAGGCTCATGAAAATTCAAAATTCTAGTGTGAAAGTCTCCAATTATGGTATGGAAGAAGGCATTTTGACTTTTGTCTTTTTATATAATTATGGATGATTTTTTTTTAAATTAAAAAATACTTTTCTTTTTAATCATAGATTTTTTTTCAATGAATAAAATTTGACACGGGTAATCTTATCTTCTTTTATTATTTTTAATTTAATTTATTATTTTTATAATTAATAACTATCAATTAAACACATTATTTTTTGACATGACAATTTCTGGATGAACGCGTGGTGGCGTGGGTGGAAGAGCAGAGCGTGAAATGTATCGCAGAGTGACGTCAAGTGTCACGGCTGCCGGAGAATCAAATTGGCACGCGCGATTAGATATTAATAACAATAATAAATAATAAAATTGGACACTGTAGGCCACGCTACCTGCAAGGAGAGAAGTCAAACATCTCTTNGCACTATTTATTCTCTTATAAATCGTAGAGTTAAATAGTTTTTGATTGATTAGTACAATTAAGGGAGTTGTCTCTTTTATTATCAATTCTTATGATATTTTATAGGAATCAACAAACTTAATAAAATCTTTTGTGAATTAACAGACGTAAAATAGAATTCTAAATTAATATTTATATNGTAGTTTTTAGCAATATAATTAATTTGATAATTTTTTTTTGGGCAAAATATGTATTAATGACCTAATTATCTAATTAATGATAATTAGGTCATATTTATTTATTTCCTAATTAGTTTTAAGCTTTGAGCACTATTTATTCTCTTATAAATCGTAGAGTTAAATAGTTTTTGATTGATTAGTACAATTAAGGGAGTTGTCTCTTTTATTATCAATTCTTCTGATATTTTATAGGAATCAACAAACTTAATAAAATCTTTTGTGAATCAACAGACGTAAAATAGAATTCTAAATTAATATTTATGTNATTCAGATTAACTTATATGTATTATGATCAATCTCCTTTTGATTTGAACAAAGACAAACCATCTGCTCCGAAGATAAGGTATTTATCATAATTTGATTCCAAAGAGTTATCCGTTGAAANTTAATAACTATCAATTAAACACATTATTTTTTGACATGACAATTTCTGGATGAACGAGTGGTGGAGTGGGTGGAAGAGCAGAGCGTGAAATGTATCGCAGAGTGACGTCAAGTGTCACGGCTGCCGGAGAATCCAATTGGCACGCGCGATTAGATATTAATAACAATAATAAATAATAAAATTGGACACTGTAGGCCACGCTACGTGCAAGGAGAGAAGTCAAACATCTCTTCAAGTTGACAATAGCATGGTTTTATTAGAAGGAAAAAAAAGAAATACTATTTGAATTTAATAATAAAACTTAATTTGTGATATAATATCGCCTTAAATGATATAGTCATAAAAAAAAATTTTGATAAATGGAGTCACAATAATTTTACTGTCACATCATTAAATTAATAAATTAAATTAAATTTTTAAATACAAATAGTATTATATTATAAATAAATAAATAAAAGAAAAAAAGGGGTAATAAATGATTCATATGACATGTACCTTCAAAAAGGGGTTTTTCAAAATAAATTTTTTTTTTTGAAATTCTAATTGAATCGATACCTGTAATGAGATATCATATTCATTTAGGAATTGCCTTTAAATAATATAATTTCAATAAAAAATTAGTTGGAGTCCGTGAAAAAACAAATAAAAAATATTTCTTGGTCTGGCCCGATCTCGGTTAAGCCCACCGGGTCGAGTCATTAAATCACTGAGATCCACCTGGAATATTCCACAGCAGCTCTTCATATTCCTTCCTCAAACATAATTACTCTTCTTCTTTTTTCTTTTTCTTTTTTGACTCTTTGGGTAATAATAATTTCATTTTGGAAAGACATAAATTATAGTAATAGCCCTGAGATTATGTGTTTCATGTCATTTTGGTCTCTATTCTTTCAACTATGTCATTTTTAGCCATTAAACATTTGGTTTGATAACTATTGTGAAAACTAATAACTAAAAACATCACATTTTATAAAATATTCTTTTAATCCATTAATTATCAATTTTGTCAATAATATTCTTGAAATTTTCAACCAAATTTTAAATAATTCTTAAAATTATTCATAAAAAATATTAGATTCATCACACAAAAATAAGACCCGAGTCTCACAAAAAATATTGTCTGCACTTTAAGAATACATAATAATAAAATTGAAAAAAAAAGTAACATCCCGGAACACTTTAATAACTAGAAATGTATTTAGTCAAATATCATGTGATATTTTTTACTATTAATTATATATTTTTTTTTGTTCAACAGTCAGGAATATTCAGATTAACTTATATGTATTATGATCAATCTCCTTTTGATTTGAATAAAGACAGACCATCTGCTCAGAAGATAAGGTATTTATCATAATTTGATTCCAAAGAGTTATCCGTTGAGATTATCCATTAAAACTTTTATTGTCGATTATGTCAATTCAAAATCGAATTTAAAATATCATAGAGTAGGATAGCGTAATTAATAGAATAGGAAACAAAGTAAAATAATATTTACCTTTCGCTTTGTTGGCCGGCTCCAAACCTCTTTCTTTTTCTGCAAGACAGAGAGAAAAAAGAAAAACCATAAACGTTACCAATCACACCCACCGGTTTCGATTACTCCGCTACTAAACCCTCTTTAAATACAACCCTAATCATCACCTTTCTCCGCACTACTCTCATTTCTCTCTCTAAAACACTACACTCTGCCTTTNTGAAATTTTCAACCAAATTTTAAATAATTCTTAAAATTATTCATAAAAAATATTAGATTCATCACACAAAAATAAGACCCGAGTCTCACAAAAAATATTGTCTGCACTTTAAGAATATATAATAATAAAATTGAAAAAAAAAATTAACATCCGGGAACACTTTAATAACTAGAAATGTATTTAGTCAAATATCATGTGATATTTTTCACTATCAATTACATATTTTTTTTTTGTTCAACAGTCAGGAATATTCAGATTAACTTATATGTATTATGATCAATCTCCTTTTGATTTGAACAAAGACAGACCATCTATTCAGATTAACTTATATGTATTATGATCAATCTCCTTTTGATTTGAATAAAGACAAACCATCTGCTCCGAAGATAAGGTATTTATCATAATTTGATTCCAAAGAGTTATCCGTTGAGATTATCCATTAAAACTTTTATTGTCGATTATGTCAATTCAAAATCGAATTTAAAATATCATAGAGTAGGATAGCGTAATTAATAGAATAGGAAACAAAGAAAAATAATATTTACCTTTCGCTTTGTTGGCCGGCTCCAAACCACTTTCTTTTTCTGCAAGACAGAGAGAAAAAAGAAAAACCATAAACGTGACCAATCACACCCACCGGTTTCGATTACTCCGCCACTAAACCCTCTTTAAATACAGCCCTAATCATAACCTTTCTCCGCACTACTCTCATTTCTCTCTCTAAAACACTACACTCTGCCTCTNTGGAGGATTGTCTTCGTGTTGGTTCATGGATTGAGTAGTGATCGCCATTAGTTAATAGATGTATTGTTCAGGAGTGAGAATTTTGTCGATTTCCCACAGACGGCGCCAAACTGATGATGCACAAAAATGATTTTGCACACCACCTGCCAAGTATAGATAATAAATGCAATGAAATCAACGAAAAAATTAAAGAAGACACAATTTTTAGTGGTTCGGTCAATTCGACCTACGTCCACTCTTCAATGGCTTCAGTCGCCGGGTATNACCTTTCTCCGCACTACTCTCATTTCTCTCTCTAAAACACTACACTCTGCCTCTCAGTCATCTTTTCTGTCTCTAGAAAACTTCAGTCATCTTTTTTCTCTCATGGGTTCTGATAAGAAGATCAAGATCGGAATCAACGGTACTTGGATTTGTCTATGTTTTTTTTTAGATTTTATTTTCTTGAAAATGGGTTTATGGTTATTGATTTTGTGCTGAAATCTATCAGGGTTTGGAAGGATCGGTCGTTTGGTTGCTAGAGTTGCTCTGCAGAGAGACGATGTTGAGCTTGTTGCTATTAACGATCCCTTCATCACCACTGACTACATGGTACTGCATTTTCCCTGTAGAACTATTTTTTCCCTTATTTTTAAGCTTTATATTGGTTGTATTGATTCCTTGTGAGTTTTGTTATTTCTATTTGTGCAGACATATATGTTCAAGTATGACACTGTTCATGGCCAGTGGAAGCATCATGAGCTTAAGGTCAAAGACGAGAAGACCCTTCTCTTTGGTGAGAAATCGGTCACAGTCTTTGGCATCAGGTACAATTTCATGGTACAACTTGTTTTTCACTCGATATGAATTGGGAGAATTTGAACTAAAATGTTTGATTATGTAGGAACCCAGAGGAGATCCCATGGGGTGAAACCGGTGCTGAATTTGTTGTGGAGTCTACTGGAGTCTTTACAGACAAGGACAAGGCTGCTGCCCATTTGAAGGTTTGCTTGGATCTCGGTTCTTATATTTAGATTTTGTTGCTATTCCAGTTTGTGATGTTCGTGTACTGTGGGCTGATATAAGCCAGATCTGGTGGTATTTGCTCAAAATTATTTTTAGTGGGGTCTTGATGGAGTTTGATGTGATTTAGTTACATGTGTTGTCTTGGTTGATTTTCTTTTCTGGGTTTTATGTAAGTTTGAGTTTGTCTTATATTTCACAGATGATTTTGATGTGTTTTAATTTTAGGGGTACCCTGATTTGATTTTCTTTGCTAGATATGGTGGTTGATGATGCACAAAAATGGTTTTGCACACCACCCGTCAAGTGTAGATAATAAATGCAATGAAATCAACGAAAAAATTAAAGAAGACACAATTTATAGTGGTTCGGTCAATTCGACCTACGTCCACTCTTCAATGGCTTCAGTCGCCGGGTATTTTATTGATTCAAAGGTGTGGAGAATGGAGATACAAGCTTTGAGAGGGGGAGTGGAGAATCAGAGAAAATAATAATCTCCGGTAGTCGGTTCGTCTTCTGTAAGTCTCTGATGGAGCATGTCCTTCTCTCTACCAGATTGGAGCTATTTTATATCAGCTAAGAGATCATTCTTGTGGAGATCATGACATATCCTCAAGGCTTCTTTATCGCAGCTAAGAGATTATTCTTGGTGGAGATCACGACTTATCCTCAACGGAAAGAGGAGGTTGGGGAGCTCTTCATGAAACGTGGTCAAAGATTGAACCGTTTCCTTCGGTGGTACAGATAAGCTTCCCGTGCTCTTCTCTTGGTGACGTGCTAAGCAAGAAGTCTAACCGACCTTGGACTAAGCTTCTCGTGCTCTCCTTTTGATGACGTGCTAAGCAAGAAGTCTAACCG